TGATTTCAGTCCTTTGTTCCTTAGAGCCTCTGAGCTCTCTCAAATCAGAATGTAAACTAGGAAGACAGAGATCCAGCCCCCTCTATCCTGTCAATAAATATACAACCCCCTCCATGGACGAGATGTCTCCCATGGAAGGAAAAGTGGGAGGCCATAGACCTGAAGGGATCAGATTCATCTCAGAATGTTCTAACGTTCTAATGTCAACAGCTTAAAGTTCTGCACTTCAAAGTCCTCCTTCTCTAAATACACTACAAATGACTACAAGTTTACACCTAGTTTTCATACTAACCATTTCATTTATCAGATTGAACTGAATCTACCACAGTCACTAGTCAAATGTGCTCAGTCACATGTACTTGGCGATACTTGTTGAAACAGAGCCTCTGAAGTTAGATTTACTGAGAAAGGTATAGCAAGAACACTGTTTTGGAATGGACCAAATCTCAAAGCACAAGTTTTAAGAAAAAAAAAAAAAAAGCAGGACTATTTTAGCTAAAAGTCAGTAAGTCTAACAAAGATAAAATGCCTCTGATATTAACCAGATGTAACTATCACATATTGTAGAAAAGAGAATAAATTGTTAACCCTAACTTCCAAGGACCCTGTCCTACTAGAAAAGATTCCTTCCTGCTAAAAGTCTTGGGTAGCCAAACAATGGTCTGAGCTAGGACACGAAAGGAGGATGGAGAAGCAGGAGGAAGAGAATTTCTCCCTTCTGTTTGAACCAGACTTTCCCCATATTTTTCCATTTTACATATTACTTCATTACAAATGTTGAAAACCTAAGTAAGGCCTAGATAAATTCCCATTCTGAAAAATAAGCTCAACAAGGAAATCTCTGACCTGGCATAACCCAGGAGAACAATTAACCGGTTGGTCTTCTACTACCAACCAGTGTCCACTCATGGCCATTAACAAGGCAATGGTGTTTTACTAGGTCAAGAAAAATTCAATTTCTTTTTATTATAAAATTTAAGACCTAAAGCCTAGAATCCCAACAACCCTGTATTTTGGTAAATTTATAGACCACAAAATAAGACGGTGAGCTGTAAACTACTCACAGGAGTGATTGAATGGTGTCACAAATCAAAGGGCAAGCCTCTGTAGAAGAAATATAAAATGTTCAGCTGGGGTACTCAACCATCACTGTGTTCTTCACCCCTGAAAATGTGAAATTACCTTCCCTACCATGACACCCCACACCACCGGGCTTTCATTTCAGAGATGAGAAGCAGAGAGGTTAACAGGGTCAATGGCTAGGTCAATGATGTTAGTAAGAAACTGTTGGAAAGAATGCTTAAGAAAATTCATGCTTGGGTGATCGGATCATTTGAGGGGAAAAAATGACCTCGGGAAGCAGGACTCTGCTCCAGTTTGAATGCTGTCAGAAAGCACGGAGAAACTGGGTTAAGTGAACAAGTCAATGATTCGTCATAATAAGTAGGATGGTCTAGAGAAAGAATACAGCTGTAATTTGTGCTGAATTATTAATCCTTCCTATCAATCCTGGCAAAGCCAAAAAAAGAGTCAATGTTAGAGAGGAGCAGATAGTGTACTGGGTCATGCTCAGAAGAATCTCTGTTAATTCTGTGGATCTCAGACACTTCAGGTGTCAGGCCTGTTTATGCAAAGACCACATTCCACACCTTGGCTCTGCCTATGTCACTCAAGATGTGACCTCTTAAATGGAGTCCATATTTAGGGCTTTTCCTTTCATTGTTTCATAGCCATCTGGAATAACAGGCTGAATCTGATGGTTTCAGCCATATTTTCTTCCCATGTCCAGAGTGGGTAAAATCAGCTAAGTAACACTGCTGTCTAGCCAAAAGAGAAAAACTATTTCTTTACTCTCCAGCTTCAGATCATAAAATACAACAAAACCTATTGCTAGACAAATAATGCAAAAAACCCCACAAAATACCAGCCTAATTTTTAAACTTATTATTAGACCCAAAAGACACGCAACAAGCTGTCAAATTACTACAAAAGGTTCACCTTTGTTTCACTGTATTTACATAGGCAGACACCTAATAACACACACTTCTTGAGCAGCACTGTGGTTTATTATGAATTAAGTTAACTGCAGTTAATTCTGCCTCCTGTGTGCATTCTTCTAAATTCACATGGCATCTGACAAAGAGAAAAAGGTTAAGGAATTTCATTCATGGAAATGCTTAGCTATGAGTCTTTCAATCACAGTTAAGAGAATGATGGATCCTATGTACAAAAGCTTCAAAGATTAGCTGAGTAAAATCCTTACCTGAATAAAATCAGTAAGCTCTTCCTTGCAACCTTCTAAAATTAACCTAATCAAGGGATTAAATCTTCTACCCTCACAGAGCTAAATAGTATTCTTTTCCATATCAGGAGGCTTACTTGTACGCTTACCTGCGATTTCCCATTGGTATTTTTAGAGAAAATAGCCAGACTTTCTACAAAGGACAACTTGGATTTGATTAGAATCCCATAATCCTCTACAGCAGTGGCCTTATATCCCAGAAGGTTGGTCCTAAAGCATCTGTTAGCTTCCCTCCCTAAGGTCAAGAAGTTCAAATATAAATTCATATACAGTGAGATGAAAGACACAAAGAGTCCAGGCATCCACTTATCAGCCGAATTTGTTCAAATCCTCGTCAGTTGGAGTTCCTACATTATCTCTAAGGGCTTACCCTGACCAATGAGGTTATACAGTTTGAAGAATTGACCCTCAGCTGAATGAAACAACTACTACTGCAAGAAGTCCAATCTTTTTTCCTTTCTTGCTTTCTTGTTCCTGACACACAACTGCTGGGAAGTATACCCTCTTTAAAAATGTATTTATATGGGCTGGGAAGTTGGCTCAGTGGTAGAGCGCTTGCCTTGCATGCCTGAGACCCTGGGTTCGATTCCTCAGCACCACGTAAGCAAAAAAGAAAAAAGCCGGAAGTGGCGCTGTGGCTCAAGTGGTAGAGCGCTAGCCTTGAGCTGAAGAGCTGAGGGACAGCGTCCAGGCCCAGAGTTCAGGCCCCACGACCGGACCCAAAAAAAAAAAAAAAGTATTCGTTTGAGCACAGTCAGAACTGCCAAATGAAGAGAGATACAGAGATGAGGCTCTTTTCTGGGGTCATGTTCAAGGTCTAGGCCAAGACTCAACGTGTATTTTCTGCTTAGAAACCATCTCATTCACAAAATCTCTCCAGAATATACTTCCCTTTACAACTTAAGGTAAACAACTCATATGCATATATGAAGTATGCACATATTTACTTACATAAATACTTTATATATGAAAGAAATGCTTTTTCAGATACTTTAGACACTTCTTTGGCAAAAAAGAAAAAAATCTTTGAACTCCAAAATGATGTGATCATGATTTTTTTTTTCAAATTGTTTCAAGTTGCCTGGAATAGTAAGCCCAAAACTGGCTTCCTAAAAAATATTTTTAATTAATTGAACTGTGAATACTTGAAGTATACGAATTTTATATACGAACAGCATTACATTATGCTGATATATACAATTAGCTATGATATTTTAAAAATGAGAAAATAATGCTCATTCACATTTTACTCATACTTTGTTTTCCTTATGATTAGTTATTGCCCTAGATTTCTGTACTATAGTTAGATAATCTGATATGTGCAGAAAGAAAAACACTGATTGCTATATGGAAAAAAGTTATATATGAAAATAATTGTGATACACCATCAAAATCATTTTTGCCCTTTTCTCTTACCTGAACTATAATTTTTCAAATCAATATACCATTTCAACTTAACTAAAACAGTGTATAATTTTTACTTAAAAGTGTTATAGAATAGTGCCATTTTATCATTCCTTTCATTTTATATCTTAAAATTCAATCAAAGCTCTCTCTATAATATTTCAATCTACATTTCTTTAGTCTGCTTTTCTAGACAGCATTTCCTTTGTTTCTTTAATGACTTTAGTTAACATATATCTATTCAACTTTTTCTGTAGAATAAGGAGACTTGACAGCAAAAAGTTAAAAGTATAATGAACTAACCAGCCTTTGGTTACACATACAGCAAACTCCATTGGGCTGGGCTTATATTTCTAACAGTATGTTTACAGGAACAAAGGAAGAATATTAAAGTTATAAGCAAAGTACCAGATAAAATACAATAATTACAATAAGAAATATAAGTGATATTTTGAGAACTTATAGAAGCAGTGACAAAACAAAAATAATAGCTCTGAACACCCAAGAAACAGCAAACTGACGACCACAAAAGAATAACTGGTTACTCTTTTTGAACAGACTTGAAGTCAGCTATGAATGGAAGAGGCAGAAACACTGACAATTTTCAAGCAACATCTAAACACACAAAACAAAAATATTTCACATCTGCAGAGTATATAAAGAAGGGTTGGCTACTATAAGCCTCAAGTAAAAAACTGAAAAGCAATATATTGGTATTTTAAGGAAAAAATAACAATCAAAGCCACCACACAGGGAAAAAAGTACATCTCATGTTCATAAAATAATGCTACTTGGCCAAATTCTGGCCAAGGATCTGCTTATTTCCCACTCTGGCATTCCGAGAAAGCTAAAGAATGCTTTCAAAATACTTTCTTTAAGGAGATATCCAAAATTTTCCACATAAGAAAGTAGAGACCTTTTGGAGGGATCTATGTTTCTTTAGAAAGTTTTTAGCAAACTTTAAAAGAAATAAGGAAATAAAAATTCCCCCAATAGAACACAAGGGAAAACATAAAAATGCTAAAATAGTTGTCTCTTGTTTCTTGGAATAATCTTGTTTTCATGTCTCAAGTTAAGCCAAAGCACACATTTTTGACAGCAAAAAAAGGTTTTCAGTACTTTTTTCCCAACTGAAAATATAACAATGAAGTTTCCTTTACACCTCTACCTTCCAAATCATGCTAAAGATACCCTATATTGAACACACACCTGAACACACACCTGAACACACACCTGAACACACACACACACACACACACACACACACACACACACAATGAGAAATGAGTCTTACCAGACCATCACAGTTGCTAATGGCAACAGAAGTTCCTGGAATGTCCACAATGTCACCAACATAAGCACAGTTGGTCTGCAAGGGCTCTGTTCTCCAGATTGTATCTGCAGCATTTCCAGGCTGATCATCATGTAAGTGGCCAGTTATATTCCCAGGCACTGGAGATGTCTCGTGCCATTCTACTACAGCCCCAGGAGCAATTAATTGAGTGTTAGGCTTTAGTCGCAGATGAAAATCTTTTCCAAATGCTGTGATGTTAAAGAACAACTGCTCAGAGTTGGAAGACACATCCCTCGTTGACCTCTTTTTATGATTTGCAGAAAGAATATGGGAAACATAATGTCCTTCTACATTTGTGCTGAATGGAGTCACCAGCTCATATTCTTTATGTCCTTTTATTGGTAAATCTGTGGGATTAAAACAACAACAACAGAATTTATAGAACCCTGTGCAACAAGATAACAGAAGATACAGAACTTAAGCATAAAATGCCTACCTCACAAGACCATACCTCAGTTTGCTAACAAATACATTACTGAATCATGTCACAGAATGCATTGTGAACATTCACTTATGTGTTTGAAAATGTGAATATACTTTTTCCATAAACTATACCTGGCTTGTTTAAACTCAAAATATATTCCCAAATAATTTAGTATTGACACAAGTGATACCTGCTACAAACTTTTAGCAAAGTTTTATTACATAAATTTTATTGTCTTCACTTTTTTCCCTGCAGAAATCCCAGAATTTATATAGATCACAGTAGGGGCTTTACATTGCTTTAGCCATAAGCAATAATGTCTAACCTGTAATTTATAGCATCATAATTTATATGTACATTTTCAGTCATTGCAACCCTAACAATCGTACATCACAAGTGAGGAAACATTCAGGGAAGGTCTGCATCCAAACTCAAACAACTGTAAAGCACAAATGAAAATCTAAACTATTCTCCAAAGCCCACACATTCATTCTGCTATATTATGCCATGCTCTAGCTATGAGAATATGAAAAGTTTTATATATATATATATATATATATATATATATAAAGAATATATAAAGTTATGAGAATATGAAAAAGTTAACTATCTATAACATTCAGATACCAGTAGAAATAGTAGTGTCATTTTGCACAGTATATCATTTAAATGTGAATGTGCATTTGGAACTTTACAACATAGAAGTCAAGTTAAACTGAATCTCACTGTTGGGACATTTCCCTCCCCCCCCCCCCCCCGCCCCCACCCCTCCCCGGGCTCAGGCCAAATGTGAGCACTGTGTTTACTAAACTACAAATACCCTTGGGAAAGAGAAGAGACAGGGTTTTGGAGAAGGAAACAAAGAGGACAAGGATGGACAAAGAAAGTCTGGGAAGGAAAAGCCAAGACCAAAAATTTAATCTAGAAATGTAGAGAATGAACACAAATATCAAAGAGGAAAGTTTACATAGTACGGGATGAATGGAAACCTTCCTTGTGCATGGACAAAGCCTACTCCAAATTACCTTGAGGACAAGGCTCTCCCCATTCAACCTGGTGCTCTCAGTATTATCCAATACAAGATTTTATACATGGTATGTCACCTGGGTTTCTTTAATATGAATTAATTTAATTTATAGGTAACCACAGAACCCTTGCTTTGCCTATGCTGTTACCCATTGACTCCCACACCACACTACTTAAGGCACACTACCCTAAGCTTCTGACTCCACCAAAATAATCTCTCATAACTTTCTCCAACTATCCTTTTATGGTTTCAAGAGTCCAAGGGGGGATCAGTGCTCATTTTCAATGTATAGGTTTCCTATGTCCTCTGAAGGGAATTCACACAAAAACCATCAAGACAATATGCTGATGCCTGGAGAATAATACTCTCAGGAAGAATATACTGAGGCTCCTTTAACCCCCCTCTAGGAAATACCCAGAGCCTTGTGTTTACCATACAGAAGCTCTATATCCTAGACTCCTAGACAGATTTGTACTTAAGAATAATATCATATCTACTACTCACAAGAACCAGAACAGTTTGGTAGTACTGCCAAAATTATTTTTTAAATGAGAACATGACCCTAGAAGGTCTCTCACACAAAGTTTCAGTTCTGGTCATTTTGACTCTATGTATCTTGTGTACCTACCCACTTCACAGGAGATAGAACACTTCACTTCTGATTCCTAACCTAAAATCTGACCTACAATTCAAAGCTATCACCTATCTACAGCTGCCCAACCAGTGCTTCTTTTTAGCATCACTTCAATAATTTCAGTAAAAGACTAACTCTTTTGAGTTTTAGTAGGAAACATGGGCAGGGTGGGTAACTATCAAAAGCTATAAAAAAGCATTTTTATCTCAGATTACAATCACCTAAGAAAACTAAATTATGTCCAATGTTAATTTTACTGCATCCCAAGTTTATACATTTTATAGACCCAACTACTTCCACAAAGCAATACAGCATATGATTAAGGATTGTAGAAGAAAGCAACAATCTCAGTCACATGTCACCTTATCCAGGTTCTTCATTAGTTTCCGTTTCCTTGGAACTGAGTTGGTATGAGGTTTAAATGAGATTATATAGAAGGATTCGGTATTCATTCACTACTATCAATTTAAATGTAAGCTAGATACTCATTAAAATAATGACATGTTCAATTTTAAAGTTAGAAACTATGCAACTGTCAGCTGTGGTGGCTGAGGCGGGGGCAAAGCTACAGGTACAACATGTTTTTGGTGAGCCCTTAGTTCCACAAGCACAGAGTGTTGTAAAGCCACTTGTAAAACTCCACTGTTGGTCATCCAGTACCCAAGCCTCACTCCAATATGCAGGGATTTTCCCACAACCCCCAGACATCATCCTCTTGTGCTTTTGTGTCAACTTACTTAGGAGCAACCTGCCACTTGTGCATGGTTTGCTAGCACCTCATCCTTTCCAAGAACAGTTTCAGCTAGAGTCCTCTGAACCACTTCTTTGTTTGTCTACATTACTAGATTACTCTCACCAAAAAGCGCCCATCATACATCCCATCCCTAACAACAACAACAACAACAAAAACCTGGATGCCTAAGTTCATGTATTAAAGACTTAATCCCCAATTGCAACAGTGCTGAGATGTGGCCCAGTTAACGGGGTCTTAAGAAGTGTCTTCTCAACAGGAGTAAAGCCAGTATCATGGGAGTAAATCACTTATAAAATAGTGAGTTCCACTGGCTTCCCTTCCCTTCCACCTGCACTCTCTGCCCCTCTGTCCCTCTTATACCCTCTGCCACTCTGTCCTTCTACCCTCTGCCCCTCTGCCAAAGGATGATGCAGCAAGAGAGGGTCTCATCAGATTCTTGCCTCTCAACTGTGGACCTCCTAGACTATAGAACTGTAAGGAAAACAAATCTCTGCTCTTTATACAGTGCCCAATCTTCAAAAGTCTGTGATAAAAACAAAAACAATGGACTAAGATACTAATCTAGTAATTACTCAATTACTCTAATTCTTCATTCCTCTTCTAAGTAAATACTTGAGAAGACTGACTATATCGGATGTCTGTATTTCGTATCATTTGAATCTTTTTCCTTCTTTTTTTTTTCCTTTTCTTTTGGTGCTGGTATTGGGGCTTGAATTCAGAGATTAGGCAATGTCTTTGAACTTTTGTGCTCAAAGCTAGTGTTCTACTGCCTGAACCACAGCTCCATTTCTGGCTTTCCTTTTTGTAGTTAATTGAAGAATCTCACAGATTTTCCTGCTTGGGCTGGTTTTGAACCTCTCTATCTTCAGATTTCAGCATCCTGAATAGTTAGGATTACAATGGCATAAGCCACTGGCACCTAGTTCACTCTTGTTCCTTCTTAAACCCATTCCATCAGGCTACTGTAAAGACACTGGTAGCCACTGTTGCTTAAGCCAATGGTCAAGATGCTGACTATTGTTTCCTGTCAATTGCATCTGACCCAGGTTCTTTCTCCACCCCCTGTTTTGAAGAACTGCTTTTATTTAGCTTCTAGAATACATTCTCTTCTAGTTCTCCCCTTTCTTCTCTGGCCTCCCCTTTCTCAATCTCTCTTCCTTATAGCTCTTTATTCTCATGGCTGTACATGGATTCCTTGCATGTACCCTCCCTCGCCTGGAGAGCTCATCCTATCATATTACTGAATGTTTTCTCGATTATACACTTCCAGTCCAGACTTCATCTGTGAGGGATTCTCTCATAAACTCAGGTGCCTACAAAGTCCTTTGAGTGTGTCATGTCTCAACATTCTGAAAAGTAGTGTCAAGATTCCAAATACATCATTTGTAAAGAAATGGATGGACCTGAGGGGAAAATATGTTAAGTGAAGTTACATCAGGCCCAGGAAGACAAAGGACACATGCTTTCTCTCATATGTGGAAGCTAAACTCAATTTATACATGTACAACTAAACATGCATGGGTTGTCTGCAACGATACACAAATGTATTACCTAAAGTAAGGCATTTGCAGTGCATAATTCAAATAATGCAATTCTTTAGGAAAACTCAACAGTCCAACAAAATGAATACCAGGAAACTGGCACGTGAAAGGTGGGAGAGAGGTCAGGGAGATGGGAGGTAGAAGAATGAAGAGAAGGAGGAGGAGGAAGAGAGTACAGTTATATACAATGTTTAATCCATCCCCTATGAAATCAAGGAAAGTGAGGGGAGGGATTAGGTTGGGAGGGATGGGAAAGAATGATGAAAGAGATGATATCAATCAAGATTCGTTGTTCTCAAACTGATTTGTTGAATAGTAACTCCTTTGTACAACTAAAGATAATAAAAATGTAAATTAAAAAAAAAAGAGATTCCCCATCTCCCAGATTTGTCCCTTCCCACATCAGTGGCCACATAGCCTCCAGTCATTCAGCCCCAATGGGTTCCAAATCATCCTTAACTCTTCACATACCACAAACCTAGTCTTTAAACAAACTTGACAGGTGCCACATTCAAAATATACCCAGGCTCTGATCATTCCTCACCACCTCATTTACTACTATGCTAGGCCAAACCAACATCACCTCAGTTTTGGAGATGTGTCAGGAATATTCTCTTTGCTCCTGTGGTTATCCTCAAAAGAGAACCAGTGATTAAAGTAGCAGATCATGTCAGTTTTTTCCTCACTCCCAATCCGTAAGAGAAAAATAGTTCACAATGTCCTACATCCTGAAACTGGGAGATCCCACATCATAAGGCTTTTGTACAGAACGTTTCCCCTAAGGTTCCCATTTCTTCCCTCTCAGACAGTAACAAAGCTCCCCCCTCAACCCCTTCAGGTTTTTACCTAAACATGTCACTCTCATTGAAATCTTTTCTGACCACCATTAGCCATCTTATCACTCTACTCCCTGCGATGCTTTTCCTTTCTCCACAGATCTTCATCACCATGTGACAGCCTACAAATT